CAACTTATTTTTACTATAAGATAGTTAGTGATTGGACATTTCAAAGACAATATAGTTGTACTATATATGGTACGTATACGTACTGCATCTCCTTTATTATGACTAATAATTATACCGTAGAAGATAATAAGTCAAGACATGCACACTTGTGCTGAATAATCTATAAATACTTTATATAGTAACATGCGAAGGAGGTCGAAGACCAGTTACTTTGCAAAGAAAAATGACAATGGTTTAGAAATATGTTTATTCTTCTAAACTAACTGCAGGTGACATGAATAGATAAAAATAATTCTGGTGTTATCTACACCATTCGTTCATTCAAACCATCTCTTTCTCTTATCTATTTGATCTGACATATCGGAGATCGAGTAGCTTACTTCAGCGGTAAAACAATATGGAAAACATAAAAACTTATGATATACTCCCAACTCTATAGAAAACTCGTTTTTTGATATCGTCCCATTACAATTCCCCGATAACTTGATCCAATCGACTTCAAAACTTTATCAGAAGTACCAGATAACATTGCCGAAGTGTAGATTATTTTTTCGTTCTATCATCTTTTCTTTCCCAATTATAGCAAAAAAACTGAAAAAGTATCGTAAAATTCCTATAACTCTAAAAGAATAGATGTTAGAACAAAAGAAAAATTTACACCTGGGGAATGTTGCCTGGTATTTAAGATAAAGTTTTAAAGTTGATTGGATCAAGTTATCGGGAGGTTGTAATGTGGCTGAATTGAATGGACCATTGGAAAAAACACATAGTAAGAAAAACATATTTTGTACATTGGTCATTTCCCTCATGGAATTTGCGGCGACGCATGAGGCTCCATGAAAAATCGTTGAAAAATTTTGGAAAGCGTCTCGTGATGAAGAGGGCATTTTCTTCTACAAGGCTATCTATAAGAAATTTTTTGAAGCGAGAAAAGTTTATGAAACTACAAAATTGAATTTTTTCAAGCTTTAAAGGAAAAACTTAAAATATTCATAACATTTTAAAGGAAGATTGTAGAATACTGAGAGTGATCTCATTATGTAGCCCAGACTTCCCTCTACATTATGATATCTTCAGCTCAAAATTCACCTAAACTTTTTCAGAATAGAGGACGGGGTACCCTTAAGCCCTATGGTATCTTAATCGAAAAAAAAAGATTTTAAAATTCTCAGTAATCCATTTATTTGTTCATTCAATGCACTTTGAACCGAACAAGTTTCAGTCGTTTCAATGTTACACGATGATTAGTTATCGTACAACAGCAAAATGAGCAAATGTTGAAATTAATTTTACGACAGTAGAAGCAAATATGAGATTTACCGCTGTTGAAGACGCGACCGCTACCATTAGGAGATAGTAGAAGAAACAATAGCGAACTGAATAGATAAAGCACAGTTTGGAAAGAATAAAAAAACTGCGAAGCAAGTCTTCTCGTATTGTAGACAATTTGACTTAATTAGTTTTACAGGAAAAAAAATAAAATTGATGTCAGACGCGCACACTTATAATTTAGTACCGAACCTATCAACGTATTAGAAACACATCAGTGATTTTTCAACGAGAGAAAAAAAAGCAGATCATTAAGAGACCGATACATCAAGATATTAAACTAAAAGGTTCTATATAAATTACGATAGTATAATTTGGAATGAACAGTATATTACTCTCTTCTTTTTCGTTAATAGTGGTGACGTATCATCTCATTTCTAATGCATTATTCACAATTGACAGATGTAAAAACAATAATATGCAACAAATATAATTTTTAACTTGAGGCGATAAAGTGCGGCATTTTACTCTTCTCTATAATTGTCACCTTCTCTACTAAGTAGTGAGTAAGATAATAATAATCAAATCAACAGATGATTTGATCTTTAGTATGTGCACAAACACATTATAACGAATTCTTTCTTTTTTTTTTCACTCACACTAATAGCATGCATTGTGCCGATCAATACAATTAATTACTTCCGATAGAAGGAGGAGAACGAATATTTTTTTCGCATACAACGTAAACAAAATGATGGTGATGATGATGATGATGATGGCAGTAGAAAACATAGTTTATCCGATGTTTACCTACTAGTAATTAGTTGTATGTGTCGCGTTTTTAATCAAAAATCAAACAATTATTTTACTAATAGAAGCGCCAGGGAAGAAAGAGAAAAAAATAAAATCATATTTGTTTTATTAAGAAAGAAAAGAAAATTTTCTTTACTTTTTACTTTAGTTAAATATGTTCTTGAAATAATTTCAAGCTTTATTAACTATTCACATCGTCTATCGTGTACAGGTGATGCGGATGATTTATCATTTGAGTAACAATCATGAAGATAGGACACGTTGATATCAACTTTCTATGTAAAACTATTACAATGTTTTTAAACTATGAAAAACTCGATATTTTATACTCAAAGATACGTTTTCTTAAAAATAACTGTAATATATCACTCAAATGAAGTTTGTGCATACTTGATGATGTGCAATATTTAACAGTTCCAATGTTATTAACGTCAAATTCAGCCTTATTCGAAAAAAACCACAACTCGGTAGTTTCCTTAAAGACAACAAATCTTTAGTTTGATAACCAGAGATTACAACTGAAATGATATCTAGAACTAAACAATTCGATACATTTTTTAAAGAATCATCAAAGCTGAGAAATAAAATCGATAAATTCCACATCTGCTTTTTCTGCTGTCAGTCATTATCATAAACTGTATTATCTGCACGGATGACTGATTTTCACTTCTTCCCTATTGCACTATATGTTTCATAAAAGAGAGAACTTCTTCAATACACTTCAGCTCTTATGTACAAATATATGTTCAACTAAACGATATATATGTGTGTATGTGTGTGTTGAGTAAATAAAAATCAAGTATTATTTCACATTTACATAATAATAAAACGATCAATGCTACTTGACAACAGTTTCACACGATGTTATTCGTTGTTTGATGTGTGTCTGTATGTGCGATATTGCTCAAAATTTTTTTTCTTGGCCTTCTCTTATGAAGCAATATACACATACACAAGCAAATAATCAAAATTGACAAATATCTAATTTTTTTTTTTAAGACAACAGACCTAGAAATCAATGGCACTTTTTTTGTTTGTAACATAAAATAGATTTTACCAATGATTACATAATTGAACGGTGATTCTTTTAAGCTTTTTCATCCATAAAGTTTATTGAACAATTTAGTTCATAGTTCACTTGTAGTAGTTTCAATCTAATTTCTTGGAATAAATGTACAAATTTCATTGAATAAAAGAATTGTTGACTCGCACTATCGTCAAGCAAATTAATGTCTCTCATTAAAATCGATGTTCACTGATGGTAAAATCTATGGTCGTCAAGAACACTTCGTAATAAATTTAGAATTTTATCATTGTAGTTTTTCTACCATTCACAATTGCTGAACGTAATCACAGTTTATTCAAGAATAGTAGTCGCTATCAGGAAAGATTATATTTTGGAAAGTACTAGAGACTTATATATATATATATAGGTAATTACATATAATACATACCTATCGAAAATCTAAATCGTAGACAAAGCACTTTCTGTATAAAGTTCTTCGAGAAATTAGATAGAAAGAATCTTTTTGCTTGAGTAGAGGTCTACTTCATAACTGAGACAACTATTTTTGACACTCACTTTCACTTTGCTTCCCGTCCTCTGATGTTTGTTTGGTGTAAATTAAGATTTCGTTTTCAAAACGAATATGATATGAGATATTAAGCTGTAACAAGTACATTCGATTACCTGTAAGATTAACAGTAAAAACAACACATTTTTCTCTATCACATCTTATCATAGCGTTATATACTTTGTCATAAAAAGTGACTTTTATTATTGAATCAATCGTAGTAGTTTGACTCTATTAAAATAACAGAATTAGTTCAGTTCGCGAAGTAATCATTGTCTATAAAAGAATGTGGCTATTCTTTATCTAAAAGAGACATTGTACCTGGAAATTATTATTGCTTAATCCTATAGATAATCATATATTTTCTTGTACTATGTAAATGCTGAAGACAAATTTACAGATCGACTTTATTTTTGAAACACCAATAATAATGTTACAATGTCGAATATCTAGAAGCTCTATCGCTTTACTTGATGTAAACATTCATCATCATCTCTCGTGCTACTCGCCTTGTACTCGATGATAAGATATTTAATCTATCACTACTACAGATTTCAAATTTTTACACATTTTTCGAAAATAATACTGTAAAATTTTTTTTCTTCTCTCTGTTGATAAGGACATTTACTCTCACAAACTACACTTCATCTACACAGTTTCAATTTTTGTCGATCGTTTCTTTCTCATTACAGTTTTATTTCAATTGTATCATATTTTTTCAGGGAAAGAAGAAGCAAAAAAAATGTAAAATTTGCCTTTATTTCTATTTGATAGATACAACTCTATGATTTTATCGGCTCAATAATTTTTCTTTTTTTTGTTGTATTTCTGTTGCTTTGGAAGTAATAATAATAGAAAACTACAAAATTGGGATAAAAACATGTACCCGACGCCGTTACTTACATAAAAAAGTCACTCAGAAAAAAATATATTATATTCAATATTTTTTTTCCGTTTTAAATAGCTAGTACAATAGTATAATCATTATCATTTTTTTTTCTTCTTCTCTAACTAATATAGTTGTTTTACATCGCATTAATAAGTGCCCTTAGCGGTCAAGAGCAAATAACAACGTATTAAAATATTCTGATTTTTTTTCCTCTTTCTATTCTTTTTTCTCTATTTCTCTCTCTTTCATCGAAAATAATACTTAACAGCCAATGATTGAAACATACACATATCAATATTTTTTATCGATTGGTTAATACAGGGAAAAAGCGAGAGTAAAGAAGAAAAAAGAAAAAAAGCTGAGAGATTGTAATTTTAAATTAATTTTTAATATACAAGTAAATTTTAATCGGCGCAAGTAAATAATTTGTGTCCTATTCAATTAGTAGACGAACCATGAGTCCAGTGAAACATCATACAGATAATAATCTTCAATTAGATTCACCAAAATTAGTTACAACAACAAAGTCTACAGCATCGTCATCATCTTCCTCTTCATCACCATCTATTCCATCATCAAAAAGTATTTCACCATCATCACATCAACAACAACAACAGTCATCTCTTCAAATTCCACCATCTACATTACTCAATGCCAATGGTGGACCAAATTTTTTTCCTTTTCCAATGAATTTTTATCATCCTTATATGCATCCGTTCACAGCTGCTCTACGTGCAGCACATCAGACTCATCAACAAAATTTTTCCTACGATACTTTAGCTGCTGTCTCATCGTATAATAATCGATTGACTAACGGTACAGCAATACCAACAAATATTCCAAAGAGTGATGGATTATCATCATTCAACTCAGTGAACATAAATAGTGGTTTATTAACCAAAACTAATACTAAAAATGATATGTCGGATAATGATTTAGCAGAAGGTAAGATTTTGATTTCTAATCATCGATGAACTTTTGCATGTGCCAACAAAACGCAATCAAAGTATGAAATTTCTGTACTATTTCTAGGGAAGAAGAGAAGATCAATTTAATTCTATGTTTCACTACTTTTTTTTGTTTTTATGATCTCCTTGTATACTAGAACAATTTTATCCGAATTATTTTTTTATTTGGAAATTTATTGTTCATTTTTAGAATCGGATGATGATCGAGATAGTAAACGTCGTCGAACAAGAACAAATTTTACTTCTATGCAAATAGAAGAACTTGAGAAAGCATTTCAAGATGGTAAATTTTTTTTCTAAAATTCATACACACGAATATCTAATAAATAGATTTTGTTTCTTCTCGAATTGAAGGACATTATCCCGATGTTTATATGAGAGAAGCATTGGCAATGCGATTAGACTTAATAGAATCGAGAGTACAGGTAAAACAAATTGTTGTTGTTTTAATTAATTCTATCTATCGAGTTTATCTATTTGTAACATTATGTAGTTTTTTTAAGGTATGGTTTCAAAATCGTCGTGCTAAATGGCGTAAAATGGAGAATACTAAAAAAGGTCCTGGTAGGCCACCACACAATGCGCATCCAGTAACATGTTCAGGTGAACCCATTTCTAAAGAAGAATTAGAGAAAAAACGACGTGAAGCTGAAGAAAAGAAAAAACGTAAACAATGTGATAGACAACGTCGATTAGATGCAAAAAAACATGTACTCTTAAATAACATTACGAATAATAATTCTTCTGATAATAATACGAATACGGTTAATACAACAAATGATCAATTGAATATTTCAACATCATCAGCTACAACTATTAATGATCACACAATTGATGATAGTGATGATTCACTTTTAGATGATATTTCACCAGCAATATCCGAAACAAGTACAACAATATCAACAGATAAACCATCAACTTCTAAAATAATAGAATCATCATCATCAATATTAAATAAATGTTCATATTCTATTGATAGTATTCTATCACAAAATAGTCAACAACAAAAACATGTACGAAAATCATTATCATCTTCACAACAAAATTCAAAACATTATCGTACAACATCACCAGATACAAATAATCATTTACTTCGGACAGTTTCAAACGGACATAATCAACATACTCATCAACAGGTACCAATATATATAACATAAAATGACAATACGTCTTTTGTTTAAACGCTAAAAGAAAAAAAGGTCTTCTTTTTTTTACTTTCACACACACACACTGTTGACACATACATATACATATCCCGGTTGTTTTTTTCATTATCTACTGATTGATAGATAGATAGATAGATAGAGTTTTATTCAGGAGTATTTTTTTTTTTCTCTTTTTTTTTCTTTCTCGCTGAACTTCTATTTGTACATATATACAATAACAACAAAACAAAAAAAAAAAGAAGAACTCTGCGTAAAACAAAAGACGAATTTTTTTTTTTCCTTTTTTCTTGTTCTCACACAGTGATTCCATACATACAATTAGTTTCTCAATTAAATTAAAAAACTGAAGACAACATCACTCAACCTATGTACGTATAATTTGTCATACATATATTGATAAAAATCCCTTCCTTTTTGGTTTTTTATTTGTTTGTTTTGTGTATATATATATATATACTACTAAACTTATTTTTTTTCTTCTGAATCTTTATAATAAACAAAAGAAAAAAAAAATTAAACAAATCTTCCAAAATTTCAATGACAAAATTTTTGATCTTATAATCATTATGGTATTTTGAATTATTCGTTTCTATAAGAATCATAAGACATGGTGCAGCGTTTTCGATATAACTTTGACAAAGTATGGGAAGTTTTATGGAGTAAGTCTAAATATTTAGCTGGTAATCAAAAAAAAGAAGAAAAGACTTTTAACTTTTCGGAGTCATTTTTTTTCTTAGTACGAGTAAATTTTTTAAAATGAATGGAGTAATTATTTCAAACAAGGCGAGGGAATTTCCCCACCTTCCCTCACCTAATTGAAAACGCTAACATGGTGTACGTGGACTAATTTAGACACAAACATTTCTTTTTTTAGTATTCACAACAATGATTCATATATTTTAACGAGAACATCGACTATCTGTAATGATGATACACGTGGATTAATTCATAACATTCTGTTATTTTGAATTGTTTACACAATGCTTTCAAATCATTCTATTGATGGTTAATTGTGTATAGAATGAAGGTTATCTCTTTCATATAGATGATTATTATCATGATGGTGTGTTAATCTATTTTGTGAGACTTATGACAGTTATAAGTCGATTTATTTGATATTTGTCTAAAAAATACAAAAAGACAAAGAGACGTTGATCGATCTACAGGTAGATGAAAATGGAAAAAAAAAACAATGTTAAACAAAAATCTATACATATATCTTCATACTGAGAGTGGTAAAAAAAATTAATCAACATTTTTTTTACGACATACTCACCTATCAACAACTTTATTAGAGACGAGTATTTTCCATCAATTCTTCTTTTCATTTATTAATACACTAAGAACAATTAAAGAAAAATTATGATCAAAACAGTTTTAAGATATAATAAAATAATAGAAAACTAACTTTCTACAGTTATAAAATTCAATATTTTTTCGATAATCTCTGTATATAGAAAAGGATACAAATTTCTTTGAGGTTAGACAAAAAAAAATTTCAGTTTATATTTACAAGGTCTTCTAAGTATTAATGTCTAATTATAAATGCTTCTTATTTGCTTATTTAGTCTCATTTTATTCTAATTAAAGTTTATATTGTCGTTAAATATGTTCAAAATAGGAGAAAGGGAGATTATTATTTGTATACATACAGTCTATATTGACAAAAGATCCTATAGTATAGTAGTTCATTAAACATAACGTGCACAATGACAATTAACCTTGAGATAGATTGAACAATGTTGATGTTTTCTTTTTTAAGATCAGGTATCTTTGATAAAATAGCAACATATGTAGAGAGAAAAAGAAAAAGGTATCAGTTTCCATAAAAATGATACAGGTTTTAATTTGAATAAATATTCATTTGAAAAATTTTTTTTTTTTGCTACTTATTCAATAGATTGTTACGGTTATGTCTAAACAGATATGACGTAGGACAAATTAGTTAGACACACATATGTCCAATGATTTGCTTATTTAAGATAGAAATAAAATTTGTGTTCGACATTGTTTGTCATTTATTATTTTTTCTATTTCTACATGAAATTTTGAAACAGAATTATCGTTATTATGCCTTAAAAAAATATAGGTTACATTTCCGAATTATTATATGTGTATGTATATATGTTTGTTTTCTAATAAGAAAATAGAGTTTGTTTTTCAGAAATCAACATTACATAGGATATAATTAACTATTGTTTGACGGTAGAGCAATGAGAAGACTATAGTATAAAAGAAATGTGCCCTCAGTTTTATATGATGAATCGGACAGACTAAAAAGCCCATGAATATATTTTAAGACTAAAAACGTTATTTACAATCCATTGCATTAAAATGTGCTTTATCAGTTTATTTTTCTACAAATCGTCTCCGAAGTATATCCTGTAAATTGACAAGACACAGTTTCTATAAAAAAATTGCTCGAAATCGTCAATGATATTTCTCTTACGATTGATATTAAATCATTTACGTTCAGTCCTTAATGAATTCTATCAATGATATAAAGATATTCTTGCAAAATAATGAAAAGAAATCAACACACTTATTCAATCTCTCTTGTTCGAATGTACTTGTTACTAGAACTAAGTGCAGGGCAGAGGTAGGCGATGGACTATCTCTGGCTCTCTCGAGAGAATCGTCTCCCAAGCATCTTGCCTCGTCATCGCTCCGTACCTCGCCAAGTTTCGATAAATGTACTTCGCGGGGATCGATCGCCCGTAAGCTTTCTGCTCCGTCGCTGCCTCGCCCACCGTCAACTCTGGATAAAAATTTCCTCTGGCACTTCCTCATCGATTCTCCTGTGTACGGAAAATCTCTGTTAACATAAGCTATTCATTGTTTGATCTTGGTTTACAAGAAGAACCGTCATCTTAAGTATATTAAAAATAGATCAAAATAAACACAACATCTTTCACTCACAAGAAAAAATGTCCTTCGCGAGAGTTCGCGTCGTGTAGTTCTTGCCTCATCATCGTCCAGTGCCTTGTCAAGCTTTCAACAAAGCTCCGTGAAGAATGGCGGGATCTCGCTCACCTCTGGTACAGGGCATATCTCATGTGTCGTCTTATAAAACATTTACATTCATTTTACAGTGTATTACTGAGATACTTTCAATATTAGCCCGATATCCAACATTTGGACTTTGTGCATCTAAAGTTAGGCTAAATGATGAAACTTATTTAAATTCTGAAAAAATAATATTATTAACTAATTTAGTTAAAAATTTTTCAGAAGAAAATAAATTTGTATGATTTTAACAAGTATGTGAGCATACGGTAATCGGAATCATATCGTTTAAAGTATTCTTAAAACCAACTAATTTATTTCACTTTATCTTTCTCTCTCTCTTTTTCATTTTCACGTGTATATTTTACGATTGTAAAGAGTAAATTCGACCGTTTTCTGTTTTATCGAGATAAATCGATTAAAATAATAAATCATTAATATCATCTTTTTGTTGATATCATCAATTGTAAATATTCAATGAACAATTAATATTAACACCTTTTCATTCTTTTCTTTCATTCACTTAACTCTTTCTTTTTGCTCTTTATTAACGTATATATGGTAATCTCTTTGGTTTGAGAAAATATGAAAAAAATTTTCTTTTTTTCTTCTCTCTTTTTTTTTTTTTATTTGTTAAAAAAGAATAATTCATCATTTTTCTGTCGTTATCAAACGTTTTATATGTCACTCGAAGAATTAGCCATTTTTATTATTGCATATAGATCAAGGCGCACAATAAAAAAAGAAAAAATTATGTGTCTGTTCATATCTATGACCGATTACTCAATCAAACAAATTTTTATCTGTCGCGTAATATATAGGTGAAAAGAAAATGAGGGGAGATATAACTCATGGTTTAGTAAATGTTTGTGAAGGATCAATCAAAATGTTTGCTATATAAGTAATATACACAGTACTACATATTTATAGCAGATATCATACCTTTATAAAATAATGTACATACATATATCTGTACAATATCTGTCGTTTTCTCTTACAAAGAAGAATGATAACCTGTCATTAATAAATGATCATCTGCTCCACTGGAAAATAAAACACTTTTCATTTTCTTTTATTCTTCGAGTAGTTGTAGTAGTATATAGTAGAAAATAATCATTGTTTATAATAAAACAACAAAAAAATGTATATATGCGAGTAACAATTAGGGATACTCCTTTTTCGTGAGCGTTTTAGATATGATCAAATGTAACATTTTCTTTTTCTCTTTGACAATTGCATTCATGTAAAAAAAAAAGAAACTCATTAAAAATTTTTGACATTGATCAACTCAATAATCCAAGAGTCCAGGCAATTATCAAACTAAATTGAATATTTTTGTTTTTCAATACCATGTTCTATTCTCAAAATAAATACAAAAAATTTATCATATATTTTCCATTTGTGTGTACTAAATCTATTATACAACAACTATTCATTAATTAGTGAAAACTTTGATTAAAGTTATTTTTATTATTGACTGAATGTGTATATTTATATGAAAGATGAATACTGTGATTTTGATTTTGAAACTACACATTTCTTGTTAATAATTTTCATACATAAAGTAAATGAAATTAATGTACATATATATATCGAAAGATCATACGAAACGATAAAGAAAGTGACTTATTATCATTATAAACAATAGAATTAAATCGATATATACAATTTATAAATATTCGTATTAAAGAGAGAGAGAGAGAAAAGAGAGACGTTGACATCCCTATATCTATCTGGTTTCTGTTGAGAGAAAATAGTGCTTCTAGTCGTTTTAATTTAGTGAAACGACAAGAAAAAAAATAACAATCAAAATTTATTGATTGGCACATTTTTCAAATATAAGTAAATAGTTTTATTGACATATCGAAATTCACATGTCAAATTGAGTGGGAGAATAATACACTTTATTCGATTATATAAATAATTTGATTAAGCAACTTTACTAAAAAGTTTTTATGCTCAATTAACCTGAACATCATGTTTTAAAAAGAAACGTCGAATACATTTAATGCTCTAAAAAATTTTAGAAACAAAAAAAAATAATTTAAGCAGAATTATCTTTGTTATAAGTGTTAATATTATCCAAAGTAAAAAGTTTGTTTCTATCTCTGAAATATTTAGGAGAATATTTGAAGTGAACACTAATAACTAGCGAAAGAAAAAATATTGACAAATAAACGTTTTGTTTATCTAATGTGTTAACATCTTCCTACAGTAATAATAAATGATGTTCATTAAAAATGGATGACAGAAATTTTTATTCTAATCAATTTAGATTTTTTTTTCTTTTTTTTTTTTTAATTTCTAATAGAATAGTTAATATATGTAGGGAAAGATATTTTCTCATTAATAAATTTTCTCGTTCTTTTTTTTTTCTCATACGGAAATGTACTTATTTTGAAAAAATATCAGATAAAAATTGGATTTCTTTGTTTGATTTTGTCTTGTATTTTCTATTTTCCTTATTAAACGGAGAGAGAATTGAATAAATATGAAAAAACTTTTTTTTACTCAAGCAAACGTTTAAAACGGAACTTGATTAATTTCCGTAAAAATAGAATTAATATCGTTTAAAAAGTATGTTTCTCTTATATTTAAATGAAAATATTGGCTAAAATAAATATGTTAACAAAAATAAAATTTCATTCAATACATGTATGCTGAAGGTATGCGCGTACAGGCTTCATCTGTAAAACGCTGAAAAATTATATTATAATATTATACAAAATAAGTTACAATTATAATGACAAACCATGGTACATTAATCTTGAATTGGAAATCGCAAATCTGACCAATTAAAATGCGATAAAAAATACTTTCATTTATTTTTTGTAATAAATGAATCGACAAACATGTTTAAACCCATAATAAATTGCATTAAAAATGTTAACGCATTTTTCTATCACTTCCTATTTATACAAAAATTTCCTTTATATGCCAAACGATAGAGAATTTACAAGATTGCATTGTATTCTCCACAAGATAGACTGTATATTCATTTTTAAGATTCATCTTTGATGTTGGACTCAGTAACTCTAACAATTTTTTAACTGCATCGTGTGGTTTTAAAGTGCTAACTGTTCTCTTTAATTGTTTAAAATGAATACATAAAAATTTGAAATAATTTTATTACTGTCAAACGATGCAGAATTTCATGCTGTACAAAGTAGTTTACTTGAAGTTGATTCATTTAAATTGCTGGTAGTTTCAACCCTAGTCGAGAGTCCCGATGGATTCCCGCGGGACTCTCTCGGGAGTTGTTTTTCTCAAAAAATCCATAGGGAGTCCTACGGGACTCCACAAAAAGTCCCGCGAGAGTCCCATACACAAAAAATTTTATTTTTTGAAAAAGCCAGTATGAATAAAGAGGCAGGTAGTAAATTCAGGTGTACACAGCAAATTCATCTCTCTGTTCTCTTATCTAAGTAGGTCTCATTTTCGCTAGTCACAAAGTTACACTATCGGATTTTTGGACAAGTTTTCTTTTGAGACACATCTCTTTCACAGATTAATTAAGTCCGTATATGTCACGGAAAAGAATGAAAAATCCTCTAAAATAATTATTAACCAGCGATCGGAAGTTTTCTTGCCCAACGGTATCCGAAAAAACTAATTTCATCTGTTTATCATCCAAATTAGTTGTTCGAACTTGAAAATCTATTCCACTTGTTGGCAGAAAATCTGTGCAATAACAACTTATAAAAGAGTCACTTGAAAGGAACGATGAGAAGCTGATTTCATCATGTTTTACCCGGTTTTCTCTTCGGGACCAGAATGCAATCAGGGTCAAACATTCATCTCAGACTCACTTTAGTTCTACTTTAAAAGAGTTCAAAAAGCAGATATAAACTGCAAAAAGTTCGAGTATAAAAGTAGTCTACTTTTAAGAAATAAAACGCCTTATATATATATATACGTTTATATCACCTGGATAAGCACGTGGAGCAATCTGTCCTTTTCTAAAATTTTTCTTCAAACAAAGCAAAATATGCTTCCTATAACGTATCTCTCTCTATATATCTATACGATATCATACGCCACGTGTATATTTGACGATGCTAACGTTTTTTCTCATTTTAAACGAGACGAAAAACAGTGCCTGTTATATAAGGCACTTTATTTGTTAACGTAGACTACTTTTATACTCGAACTTTTTGCAGTTTATATCTGCTTTTTGAACTTTTTTAAGGTAGAACTTAATCACTAAGGTTTTGGGGTATTTTTGAGATCTTTACAGAGCAAACATTAACTGAGTCTATACACTAAGAAATCTCCTAGATTTGGTGCATTTCATGAGAAAGAACGATTTTTGATACCCAAAATGAATGAAAAACTGCAAGTGTGCGACAGTAAATAGAAAGGATTTTATATATCCTTATTTTCTCACTCACTGCAACTGCTGTATACTTACTCGGTAAATTGGTTATTTTAGTGATTAAGTTCTACCTTAAAAAAGTTCAAAAAGCAGATATAAACTGCAAAAAGTTCGAGTATAAAAGTAGTCTACGTTAACAAATAAAGTGCCTTATATAACAGGCACTGTTTTTCGTCTCGTTTAAAATGAGAAAAAACGTTAGCATCGTCAAATATACACGTGGCGTATGATATCGTATAGATATATAGAGAGAGATACGTTATAGGAAGCATATTTTGCTTTGTTTGAAGAAAAATTTTAGAAAAGGACAGATTGCTCCACGTGCTTATCCAGGTGATATAAACGTATAAATAGGAAGTGATAAAAAAATGCATTAACATTTACTGAAATTAATTATGGACCATGTTATATAAGCGACCACGTGCGCCATCTTTTTTAGTATTTTTAAATAATTCTATTTACAAAAACTCCAAATAAACAAATTATGCGAATTCAAAACAAAGTTTTCTTCTTTATAAAGGAGATATTTGTTGGAAGATTTTGGAAAATTTAAGCAGATAAAGGCACATACGCATTTTCGCAACGTGGATGTGTTGTCATTTTTCAACAAAATCGCTATTGTAGCTTATCCTTGCCTGACTCCTTGACACATGATGTACCTCGATAAAAGCGGAAGATTTTCGAGCAGTTTTCAATAGAGTTTCCATTTTTGGTGGTGAAGGCTTGCATTACTCCCTGTGAGCTCTCTGGTATTGATTTAACACACCGCAAGAGTATATATTATATTTTTTCAAGAAGCTATTCATATATATGCGTAACTCGTAACGTTTGCAATTTGCGTACAAGTATGACGAGTCGACGTAGATATCTAATAAGTGAACTTTTACGTTTAATATTATCTATCAGAGTCAGAAAATTTTGATACAACTAACTGTTTCTAGCGAGAGTTTGAATTATAGTGCACATTCACAGTTGATCACTAGATTTTCCACATTTTCCTAGCTTAAAACAGAGTCTACATGCAATTTTCAGAAGGTACTGCATGCTCTGTTAGACTCTCTTATTAGGTGAAACGGTGATTGTGCTTAAGTGGAAAAGTTTTGATTCTGTATGGGGTAATTGCTAAATAAATGATATGGGTCTCTCTCTTATCCTAAAGCGACAGGTGAATTACTTGTTGAGAACTGCAGACAGTCTTGGCTATTAATTTCTTGTTGCCAAAGCTATCATACAGAAAGAAATACACTTTTTAACATCAGTTTTAAGTTGCTTTAAATACAGAATTCAGTCATAATTGCAAATAATCTGTTCATCAACAGCTATGAAATTGATAGTTGTCAAGTTTCTTATCATTTCAGATTTCTAAAAAACATGTCTACTCTTGCGAAACAGCGATGGAAAATGTTGGGTGAAGTAAGTATTTCTATAAACGTGTTTATTACCGTTTTGTGGTATGCTTTTGTTACTCTTCTATAGATTTTATTGAATAAAAATATCGGCAACAATGGTAACTATGAAGATATATCGGTAATGCGTTTTAAAACCTATGATTTTTATACGAAAACGTTAAACTACGAAGAAGAAGACGAATCCACATGGTGTACAGTTGAATTTTCTATTGAACCAGATTTAAAGTTAAATATTCGGTAATATTTCACTGTGCCATTCTATTGAGAAAGAAATGATTCAAACTCTTTCACTTTTAGATTATGTTCAACAAGAATTGGTTATGAAGATTTAATTGGATTCAACAACACGGGAAATACGTGTAAATAAAAAAATAGCGATACGTTATCTGTATTCAGACTGTAGAATGTTGACTTTTTGTTTAGGTATATGGCCATCAGAAGAAATATTAACATATTATTGTCTTAAATCAAAAATAGCATTTGAGTGAGTGTACATTATCTATTCTCCCACTCTTCTGTCCGGTAGCTAAATTATTAGAAAAAGTACTTGTATCCCATTTGGTTTTTCTAAATTTTCAACTTGACAATAACTTTGTATTTTATGTTTTTCAGAAATAAAAGTGTTTGTGAAGTCGGTGGTGGTATGACTTGTTTAGCTGGTTTAGCAGTAAGTATAATAGATGACAAACAATTTGAAGCATGGCTGCTCTATAACATTTATTTTAACATATTATCTATATTCTATTCACTCAACTCATTACTGACGATCACTGCATATAGAATTCAAACTATTAAAGCATCTTGATTAGTTTAATATTTTTGCAAATGTTGAATCCAATAGTAGTTATATAAAAGAAAAGTATTATTTAAAATTTTCTCTCAACATAATGCTTTCTGGACAGCACTAAATGAAAATTTTTTCATACATTATGCATGTAGTTATCTTTTTTTTGCATGTTATTTTTGGGCTCGATGTTTATTTTAGCTTGCAAAATGTGTTGCATTAAAAGAGCTATTGGCTACCGATGGCAACGAAAAAAGCATTGCTAGTATATATTAAGTATTTTGTATCTGTTTGATTTTTACTCACAACATTTTATCATACTAGAGAATGTTATTTTATGTACTTAATTCATTTTCGGATAAAATTGTTATGATTAGTTCTCTGTATTTAGATTTGTCAGCAATAGTAGAAAAAAATCACAACTGGTTATGTCCGATCGAATCTAGAGTTTTAGTATGGGATAGGAATATAAATGATGATAATATAAAAAAACGATTCGATATCATTTTGTCCGCTGACTGGTAAGCTAAGAAACATATTTACATAGGCTTATCGAAGTATATTGAAAAAGCTCTCTAAGAGAAAACAGTATTACTAAGTGATACTATTTTCCTTGAGCTTAATCGATGAAGAAAATCTTCTTGAAATGCTACTTACGTTTTAAGATGCAAGAATATTGTTATGAAGAGAAACCAATCGATTTATAAAGAAAGTTTTATAAGCACACGTGTTTTACGATATACTGTTTTTCTTTCAGTTTCTTCTTTGAAGAATTACATGATGATTTCTGTCATACAATTCAATTTATGTTAAAAGATGGGGTATGTATATCTAGTGCATCTCATACGACAGTTACGGATAGCTATTTGCTTAGGGTATATCGATTAATTTTGCACCACAACGTTCCAATACGTTAAATAAATTTCTTAAAGTAGCAAAAAATTACTTTGATTGTGATCTATATGATTGTTATGATGATTGTGTTTGGCAAAAACATATTCAAGTAAGTTCAGCTTTTTTATTTATAACTTAAGCTTAAGAAGGAAAACAATTAGGGTGTCTACCTTTTTGAAACATGTGAGATGTTCTTACATACACTTACACGCTTTTACAGATCTAGACGGCTTGGCCACGTAACTCTGCTACCGCAGTGTGAGTCCATCATGGTTTTTCTGTATTTTGTTTCTCTTACAGTTTTCGAACCAAAACATTCCCAGAGCTCTGAAACATCTTAAATTGAAGAGAAAAGTGAGCTTAATATCTTCAATTTAAGATCTTTCAGAGCTCTGGGAATGTTTTGGTTCGAAAACTGTAAGAGAAGCAAAATACAGAAAAACCCTGATGGACTCACACTGCGGTAGCAGTTATGTGGCCAGGCCGTAGACTTGCCTATACGTGATACTTTTAGGCGGATAGAACCATTTACCTAGTCGGCAGGGCTATTCTTATGAAGTGCCGCTTTCCTGAATTTAATACTTTTTTACTTGAATTTATCCATGAGTTCTGTTTAGACACAAACAACAAACGAAAACTATTCACCTGATATCCATTATCCGTTACTTGTTATATTACGAAAGAAAAGACATATTTAGACATTCACTGAATCTCTCGCATTTTTTATTAATAATCTCAGTGATATTTACCTTCAGTTGCTTTTTCTGATTACACTTTTTCGAAAATACCGTCCATAGTCATTCCGCACTTTATATTTTTTTAGTAACTTATATGTATTTTTTTTCTAGTGATAAACAATCCAGTTTAAAGTTGTTGTTTTTTTGTTACCTTTCGCAGTGTTTTTGATACGAGGGAAGTAATTGAGTAATTTTTGGTGATGAACGGCAAAAACTTGCTGAGTAATAAAATTGTCGATGTTTCTACCATGAAAAGAAATTTCTAAGGAATGTTTTTCAAACGAGGTGAAGTCATTCCTTTCTAATCAAAATTGGTGATCCTTGTATACGCATCCTTAGTATTTTAATAAAAAAATTAATGTGCATTTGAACATTGTTATTTGTTTATTTTTTTTTGTAATAATAGTGTCATTTTCATCTTGTAAATTTATCGCAATGAATATTAGAATATTCTATTAACTTATCAATGGTTGCGTACAATCAAGTCTTATACCTGATATCGATGTATTTCGAGTTTTTCTTAATCATCTGAAGAACAAATCATTTGCGATGTTGGTTACATCAGATTTGTACTATGAGTATGTAAATAACGAATATCATATTGAAACATTGAAATATTATCGTTTTTTGCTTCTTAAACAATTTTACTTACCATTAAGTATATTTTGAAATTTTCCATCTTCTGATTGAAAAAGAGGTTTTCTTCTCTAATAATTAGGAAAGAGAACCTCTATTATATATACTACTGTACAGGACTGAACGATGTCAACATCACAACATTTTTCATATCCAACGTTTTATGAGAAACTTTTTAGTTTAGGTTATCATGAGTTGTCTCCGGATGCCACAAGTCGTTTTGGTGCTTTTTCGTGATATCCTACCTTTGTGTAAAATAAATCTATCTATCTATCTTTTTGAAGATATGGTCGATGTTTATGCAATTCAAATTGTGAAAAAAACTTTTCAGTATCACTTGGATAGAGATAGTCACATGCATGATGAAAGTTTGTGCACAAACGATTGTGTTTTGGTCGCTTTACACTATCAGTATTGCAAACAGATTCATTACATAGTCGGCATATACTGTAGGTTAGCATGGGTATTAGAAGTTTTTGACAACATATTTGTTCGACTAAAATCAGTTCAGAAATTTTGTTAGGGTAATGAAAATGAACAATTTTACTGTAGTAAAAGTAGTTTTTAATGAGATTCTAAAATTTCTAATGAACAACAAGCAATGTCACGAGACTCAACATGGACGATTACTTATGTTTCAGTTATCTCTGAAATTTCATAGATTATCGCATACGAATTTTGAGGCGTCTTTGGAATCTGATCCTACATCTGAACCGCTAAAAGCAAAAATCTCGCTTGATTCTCATTTTTTAACAGATATTGTGACGATCTATTCAAAAAAAGAATCAATATAGTCTTATCAGAAGTTGTTGGCGCATGGCTTAATCTTTCAAAAAAAAACTTGTTTCAAAGAAATCTTCTGAAAATATTTTTTGCTTATACAAAGAAGATGCTTCAGATCTTCCTTTTTTGAATGATGAAAAACGCAGCTTGTTAAGCTTTTTCTATCAAAAAATGTTTTGTTTTTACCAACAAAATTTCATTGTTCGATGTATGAACACAGAAATTTGTTAAGACTTATTACTTCTTGAAATGTATAGTTCTTCACAACGGTTCAATTTTTAAAAACTAGCAATTTAGATATTTTCAAAATATCATTGGATGAAATAACGGTCAAATTTCAAATATATCATTGTCTTGTATGTAAAAAGTCTTACTACGCATCTTCCGGGACGTTATTCAGCTGTAACCTATAATTACCTTTCAAGAATTTCCCTAGTAACATTCATGGAAGTTGAATATATTACCGGTTTATAATTTTAATCCTCCAAAGATATGATTAATTTTGATCTTTCTGACATAAAAAGTCATGTTTTAAGGATTATATTGTTTTTACGTAGTACATTTTTTTAAGAAAACAAAAAAATGAGTAGGAATTTACAATGAGATTAATCTATTTTACGTTGAATAATTGTGGTTAAAAACAAAAGCTAAAAAATGAAATAAAATATTTCTATTTTATTATTTTTCTCATTCGAATCATACACAATTTAACATCGATCTACTGAAAATATAATTTTACTCTTGAACATGAAATCGATTCTGACAACAGTTATTATACTTATCCTACATTATTATGTTCACAGTGCTAATATCACGTCGGTTCTAAGTAAAAGTGAGTGTGAAATTATTTCATTAATACTAATCACGATAAATTATATTTATCAGAATCTGCATAACATTTAGTAACAAAAAAGTTTTGATACTTCGTTGTCGTATAGAAAAGTGTTAGGAGTTATCAGTTCCCTAAATGAACTAGTTCATTTTTGCATGGGTACTTTAGGCCAAAATCAATGTTGTGGCTCATGTTTCCTATTGGGTTGTCCGACTGGTCAGTGTTGTTCACAATGGGGCTAGTAAGTAAACCTACCGCATGTTCCTGGTAGAAGCTTATTTGTATATTTTAAAGTTGTGGTACCAGTCAAGAGCATTGCGGCGGAGCAGCTGTTCAAGGAAATTGTCAAGTAACAGGTTGTGCTGAGGGACAGTGTTGTTCCCAATACGGATAGTGAGTAATCTTTGAGGTAAACTTTTTTAATCGCTTATTTGTTCATTCTATTTTTTCCTCTAGTTGTGGCACAACCGCAGAACATTGTGGAAATGTTGCTCCAGCACCTCAAGGAAACTGTCAACAAACCGGATGTCCAGCAGGCAATTGCTGTAGTAGATTTGGATAGTAAGTTTTGCTTATTAATCTTTACTTACCGTACTTCTCAGTAGTGACGATTAAATAACCGTCCTACTACCTGTCTAACCTGTCGTATTTTATGTTAGTTGTGGACAGTCAGCTGAACACTGCCAAGGACAATTATGGTGGTACCAAGGTAAAGATATCAAAAAGCAGTAAAATTCATTACATTTAACTTCTTTTCATTTGAAGGTGGTCTTGATTTAACAAACTGTAATTGGTGTACTGGTCGTTAAATATTCAACCTGTGAAACAATAACGAACTTAACAAAAACTGCCAGAAATATATTTTTGTACTAGAATACTTTATAAGTATTGAGCTGTATTTGTTACAATAAATTCGTCCAGGTCGATGCAGGAGTACACATTCTCTTCTTATTAAGCGTGTAAATTATGATACAATTAATATCATAAACTGATGACATGTTTGAGCACACGACAGTTATCTATGGAAATTGAAAGATTTCTTATTTCAGCACTGTTTTTGAAAGCCTAAGTCCTTACACATGGTAAGGAGCCTTACTCTTACTTTCATTCCTCATTTTTTCTGAGGAAACCTTTTTATTTTGCTCTACGGTGAACTGTTAGAACAGTTCAGCAGTCCATATCACCGGATCGAAAAATTTCAAAAGCTTGTTCGGTCGAAACCGATTGCAGATTCGTTTTCTCCATGGTTGATTATGTGGTACGCAATAACTTTTGCATCGGGGTACTTTAGAAAAAAATTTTCCCATGGTCTTGCTCAAAAATTTTTCAAAATGTTACCGTATGGGACCAAAGGCAAAACGATGTCGAAAATTTTTTCTAAAGCACCCCGATCCAGAAGTTATCGCGTACCACAGGGCATTTCTCTATACTGTACTCGAGCAACATATGGTTATTTTATTCATAAAGGTATGATTATAAGTAGCCGGCAGAAAAGGTAGTTATTTTACGGATAATGCCTCCTATCTCGGTAACGGAAAAGACCTGAGCAGAGATGTTTTGAATTAGTCATGTCCTTACACTTATAAGTAACTTGCAAAAAAGAGTTTTCTTCAACTCGTCTGCAAAAAAGATCCAGCCAAATCTATTTCGACTCGATATGCACATAGACAGTACTTGAAAATAGTGCTGTTTAAATAGTTTTCGTTATATCTCAAGTTTTTTTAATGATAACTGTCTATTATCTCCTACGCTTTTTATTCAACTAACCTACTATCCATCCAAAATACGGTGCGTGTGGCTGTTTTCTGAATAACTTTTGACAGAAGCTAGATAGCGACCTGCGGTTTTCGCTGTTCGATAGCCAAGTCTTGAGCAGAACTTCTCACAAGCGGAAACTTTTGAAAAGATTTCAAAGATCGGGTTTCCAGAGGATCTTTGGAAAACCAGCTCCGTTCTCAGAAAACTAGCATACAATGTTAGTAATTTTTTTGCATGCGTAGATACTCCGGACGTTACTCTACAAAATTATGCACATCCCGGCTCTCCAACTATCGTTGTTCGGACAGGGCTCGCTTTCCCCAGACGCGTGTCTATCTCCGAGTAGACATCTCTGGAAATCTCGAAATGCCAGGGAATATAGGTAATATAGGTATGGCAAATGTTGCTACTATGCTCAACTACGCTGAGCATACTGGCAACATCTGTTTTTGTGTGGAAATGAATATAACTTCGCCAGAGGCATTTTTGTGAAAAACCGGTTTTTCGTCTGTTACTAGCAAAAATTAAAATCCTTATATCTCAGTCAAATCTCATGGTAACTCAAGGAAACGCTCAGAACAGCTCATAAAGCGTAATTGAAGACGAAACAGGTGAATTTCAGCCGGACAATGCTGTAAGGTTTTACAGAAACCTTCTGAAAAATCTCAAAGCATCACTGTTCTGCTGGAACACTTTTTCGGCATGATAGACAGTATAGGGCACCTTTTAAGTCTTTCCTGAAAGGTTCCTTGA